GAGTTGGTCTTACTGGTGTTATTTTCTTCATTTTTTCAGATGAAGAAACTGAGGTTCAGAGAGATTAACATCAAAGGTCAAATTTGAATCTAGACCTTTCTCACTCCAATTCTGGCACTTTGTCTACATAGAACAATAGTCATAGACAGACAAGAGAGACAGAAAGACATATACACATATATCAATTATTATTTTTTCCAGGGTAACACTACAGGGTAGTCACAAAGATATCAGGGTAGCATACTGACAGTAAAACAATAACTTTGCCAAAGTGAATACATCAGAAACAAAACTTAAACTGAATTAAAATCTAACCCAAATAGGAATGAACTGGCTAACCATGGAAAAGTTTTAGAAGTGAAGAAAGAAATGGAACTTAAGAAAGAACAAGACCTACTTTCCTATAATTGGCATGAGACCAGGATTACATATTTTCTATAACATATAAATTATTCTATTTGCTATAGTGTATACTTGTAAAACTTAAAAAAAAAAAACACTAAAGAAGGGTTACATGCCATTTGCTGAAACATGGCAAGAAAGAATCTCAATTCAAAAGATGGGGCCCAGGACAGAAGGGAAAGATAGCAAGAGCAAAAAATAAAATCTAGTTGGTCATGCTAATGAGACAAGTACTGAGGCTTGCTAGTAGAAGAACAGGGTCATAAAAAACTGAAGGATAAAACATGAGAAGGCATTTTAGAACAACAATAGAGCTTGATGTAATTCTTAATGAGTTGGGAGTTTTTTGATCCTCAAACAGATCTATGGTTTCCCCAAATTTTCTAAAGACCTCAAGCATGTCTTTAATAGTGAATTTTGTCCAGAGGGGAGGGTGGTGGGAGGGGGAGAAGCCTCACCTCTGCCACCTCTTCTTACTTCAACATTTCGGATATTCGAGGTTTTGTCAATGTAGTACTCCCTCTAGCAACACAAATTGCAAGCTCAATACAGCTTAGGAGGTGTCTTCAAGAGCTGATGTGGCTGAAAAATTTATCACTCTCCAGTCAACCTGATGATAAGCCTCTTCAAACTTAGCTAGGCTGGTCCTAGAAAAACAGAAATACAGTCCATCACTGGGGCTGTACTTGAAAATTTTCCAGTTTGGTTGGACTTGCCAGAGCTAGAATTCCACTGGGGAGATCAGCTTCAAGAACTCAGGGTCACTTATACAACCAGCTTTAACAAACTCCTCTTATTCTCAATAAATATTTGACAAATCAATGCAAAATTTCGCAGGAGAACAAAAGAGAGATAGAAAATTAGAAAATAACAGCAAGCTAGATTTTGATTGTTCCAAACTTAACATCTGGCATGAACTAAAAATGAAACACAGTAAAAAGCTATTTTGTTTTCCCTCTTATTATTTTTTTTTAAATTCTAGGTGATTTGTCTATTCTCTATATTTAAAAAAATGCATATAAATGAGCATTACTTATAACATTCAGGTGAGACATATAAATAAAAGAATCATGATCTTCTTATAATTTAAATAAGAAAACCAACTGAGAAATTAAATATTTGTCTAAGTTCACAGCTAATAATAGAAGTATACAATCAATCAATAAGTACTTATTAAGCACCAACTGTGTGCCAGGCACTGTTAGGGTCTGCAGATACAAAGACAAAAGTGAAATAGTTCCTTACCCTCAAAACAGATTACATTCCTTTTTTGAAAATAAATGTTATCAATATTTTTTTGTTTTATATATCTACATTTCCCTCCCTCATCCACTCCCAGAGAACTATCTTTTTATAATAAAGAATTGTTTTTTAAAAAGAAACTAGCCAATATGCTGAAAAGTTTCGACATCACATACAACGTTACACCCCATCATCCTCCCATCACTACAAAGAAGCAGGAGAAGGTGCCTGCTCATTTCTATTCTGGAGGTCATTCAGTTTTGAATGCTTTATTGAACTTTCCATTGATTAAGTGTCACTGTTCATAAAGTTTTACTGGTTCTGCTTAATTCACTTTGCACTTGTTCTTTCCATCTTCTGTATTCATATTTATCCTTTCTTACAACACAGTAATATGCCATTACATTCACATATCACAACTTTTTTAATCAGTCTCCAAACAACAGGCACCTACTTTGTTTCCTGTTCTTTGCTACAAAGCACAAAAAGTGCTGTTATAAATATTGTGGTGTATATATGGCCTTTCTTTTTATCACTGACTGCCGTAGGGTATATGTCTAGCAAAGGAAAACTTACATTCTTATGGATGCAGGCAATACGCACACACAAATATAAACACATACAAAAGATACAAAATACATACTTTGTAAACTTTTAAGAAGGAGAATGCACTAGTCTAGGGGAGGTAGGAGTGAGGAAGACAATGAGACCGGGAAAGATCTCATAGAGAAGTCGTCACTTCAAGTCTTGAAGGAACTCAGGGATTCCAAGAGGCTGAATGAGGAGGGAGTACATTACAGTCACCAGGAGACAGACAACCTGTGTAAAGATGACAGCTGGAGTATCAGGTCAGGAACAGCAACAAGGCTAAAGGCAGTAAGGTCTAATAAGGCTGAGGACGGAGTCAGGTTGTGAAGTGTTTTAAAAGCTAAACAAATATGATTTTACTGAATTGCCTAAATGAAGATGTTTTATCATCTGACTTGCTGGTACACCCTAAAGACTGATGGGCCCAACGATGATACTTCCTACAGTCTCTTTCTGGATTTGAATGTGGACTCTGGGAGAGAAGGGACCATTTTATTTTGCATTTCTAAAACTTAGCTAAATGCTTTGCACACAAAAGGTGTTTAATAAATGTTTTACATTCAGGGGAGGAGCTTCTAATTGTTGATTCTGGAGTTAATTGAGAGTCACAGTAGTTTAAGTAGGGGAGTAACAAGGTCCAATTTGTGCTTTTTGCCAGCTATATGGAAGACTGTAGTGGGACAGAAAGACCAATTAGGAGGCTGCTACAACAGTCCCGGAAAGAAATGATAAGGGCCTGAAGAGTGGTGGCTGTGTTAGTAAAGAGTAGATGTATGTAAGAGACATGGAGATAAGAACAACAAAATTTGGGAACTGATTGTATGTGGAGAACAAAATTCTACTTCGTACATGTTGATTTTGAAAGGTGTACAGTCTTGTCCAACTACTACTGGGCAGCTACCTTGTTCACATGCTACCTTCCACGCCCCTCTTCCTACTACTTACTAGCCTTCTTTCTGTAACCACAAAGAGGATGAAATCAAGCCTGCTATTGTAGCAGAATGGGGTTTGCCAACATACTCCCCTAAAGGGATAACTTTCCAGACCAAAGCTTCTCTTTGCTTCCCACTTCTTTTTGCTTATGTGTATTGTATAAGTAAACTCCTTGAGGGAAAGAACTATCCCTGCTCTTTCTATTTGTATTCCCTGTGCTTAAGCACAATGCTCCTATGATGTAAGTGCTTAATAAATACTTTTTCATTCATTCAATCACCTAAACTTTAGATCTCTCTCCCTACACACTGTTCTGAATACATTAGGTATTTAATAAATGCTTTCTACATTAAAGTGAATTTCCCCCATAAGACTTTTAAGTTCCTTTACTCTTCATAATCCCAAGTATGAGCAGTTATATGGCATAATGGAATAGAGTGCTAAACTTGGGACTAGAAAACTCAAGTTCAAATCTTATCCCAGACACTTACTATGTGACCCTGGGCAAATCACTTAAACTTCTCAGCTTTGGTTTCCTCATCTGTGAAAATGGGGATAATAAAAGCACCAATCTATTTTCTATACAAAAAATGCATATAAATGAGCATTACATATAACATTCAGGTAAGATACATAACAGAAAAATCACACATGTCTCAAGTGTATAAATGAGCAAATAAGAGAATCCTAAGCAAGGCTACATGGATATGTGTTTGTACACAAGTTTATTTGGTCCCTAAAACTTTTTCCCTGGCTCTCCTTTCATCTTTCCCTACATATAAGCTATTAAAAGTAGGATTAATTCTTTCTATAGTCATCGCTGATATCTCCCCCAAAACTTCTGTGACAGGGAAGGCCCTGTCTGGGTGTTGTGGCTAATAATAACAACCATTAATGTTTATACAATGCTTAAAAATTTTCAAAGCACTTATACATATTATTATGCAACAAGTATTTATTATGTATCCTTATGCTCCAGGCACTGTTCAAGAAAGTGCTTACATTCCTGAAACAATATCACCTGGATATTGATATTCTAATGGCCATGCAAGGGGGGGGGGGTGAGAACATGCAAAACAATATATGTTAAATATAGTTTTATATATTTCCACCCCCTTTAGAATGCCATCCAGTTACACACACACACACACACACACACACACACACACACACACACACACACACACACACCCTTCCTACATACAAAACAATTAAATACGAAATAGTTTGGGGAAAAGGGAACAGGCAGTTGGGGAGAAATCAACAAAGATTTCAAGTAGAAGATAATGCCTGAGCCATCTGTGAGATGGGAATAAGGGTGCATTCCAGGCATGGGAGCTATTATCATTAACCCCCATTCGAAAGACGAGAAAGCTGAGAGTGAAAGGGGTTAAGCGACTCGCCCAGGGTCACCCAGCTAGTAAGCATCTAAAGGTGGATTTGAACTCAGATCCTCCCTGTGCCAAGTCCAGTACTTTGTCCACTGCAGCCCAACTGGCCCAGCGGTCGAAATAACTGGCGGCGTCAGGCCATTTCCTCCAGTCCCCGGGTCTCTCGCAGGTCTGGAATCTCGAGGCCATCACACAGGACCCCCTCCCCCCTTCCCTCTCTTTACTTCCCCTTCCCTTCTCCTCACTCCCCCTTCCGTTTCCTCTCCCACCCCCCAGCCACGCGGCCGTCCCCACCTCCCTCGCACCACCTCCCGGGGTCTCGGAGCCCGGGCCCCCCACGACACAGCTTCCTTTCCGACCCTTCTCCCCAGTGCCGGAGCCCTGCCGAGCCCGGGAGCCCGCGGAGCCCAGTCCCCGAAGCCCTCCAGGCCTCCAGCCCGTTACCGCGGCGGCCGCCAGGGCTGTCTCCCCCCTGCTCTGGCTCCGGCTCCGACTCCGACGACAAAGCCGCCTCCATCATCTTCACCCTTTTCCTCTTCCGTAACTTTTTCTTCTTCTTCCCGACGCCAACACGTGAGTCTACAAGGGTGGCCGCCATTTTTTGCCCAAGCGGAAGTTCCCTTTGAATTCGCCTCCCTCGGCGGAAGTGAGTGCCTTCGATTTCTATTTCCGGATACCGTGGAGCCCCAGGCTCCAGGACTTGGGTTCCGGGGGCGGTGTAAGGAAAGCTGAAAGGTGCGCCTGCGCCCACTGTTACCTTACTATATTACCCATGTCTGGTTTTACATTAACGTAAAGGCTTCTGGCCCTAGGAGGCTGAACAAGGGCGCGTCCCCTGCCTGCCCTTGTTCTTGTCTCGATGCCCAGGCTGAACATTCATTCCACCAAATTATACCCTCTCTTCCCTTCTCACCAATTCCTCTACTTTTCTATAATGTCCTAATTCAGGAGGCCTTTACTTGTCTCTTCCCTTCCCCCAACCATTCAACTAACATTAATTAAGTCAACTAACGCTTATCAATTATAATTTATAAAGCAATTAAAATCTATTTATTAATTATTTTGGCCTTTTTTGATTTCATAAACCTCCAAACTACTTGTCAGCATTCCTTTGTGTGTTAGATTAGATTGTAAGCTCCATGAGGGCAAGAACTGTCTTTCATATTAGTGCTTAGCACAGTGCCTGGCACATAATAGGTTCTTAATAAATATTTCTTGACTGTTGGCTAAGCCTTACAGTGTGCTAAGCACAGTGCTAAAGGCTGGGGATAAAAAAGAAAGGCAAAAGAAAACAAAAAACAAAAGCCTGGCCCTGCTTTCAAGGAGCTCCCAGTCTAATGGGGGAGACAACAAATAAGATTTAAATAGGAAATAATCAACAGAGGGAAGGCACTGGCTTTAAGAGGGAATGAAGAAGTCTTCTAGTGCCTTCCCTTTGGAATTGCTTCCCATTTACACTATCTTGTAGGTACAAGCTTATTTGCCTATTTTCTCCACCATTAGAGGATAAGCTATATAATGCCTTGCTTATAGCAAGTATTTAATAAATGCTTTTTGAATGACTCTCCTTTTTCAGCCCCCCCTCCTATCTTCACTTAGCACCTACCTCACTGACATATAAAGTGCTTTGAAAAGTTTAGAATGCTATAAAAAGGCTATTATTATTATTATTATTCCACTTTTCCTTTCCTCACCTTTCATCTTCTCTGTGTCCACTTGGTCACTTCTTATCCCTTCTCCTCTCCTTTCTGAACTCTATTCTCATCTCCTTTCCCTCCATTCTCTGCTTATACACCTTAGTCTCCCACTTTTATTTTCTTTACCCCCCCATTTCCTTTATTAAATTTGATCACTTCTCATTGCATCTCCTCTATACCTCATAGTCATACTTTACAATAATAATAATATGTAGCATTCATATAGCACTTTAACGTTTGCAAAGTATGTTGCAATGATTATCTCAATTGATTCTCATGGCACTAAAGGTAAATGCTATTAATCAGAAAACCCATTTTACAGGTGAGGAAACTGAGGTAGGCAGAAGTTAGGTGACTTGTTTAGCATCACACATCTTGTTAAAGTGTTGGGCCTGATTTGAACTCAGTTCTCTCTAACTCCAAGTCTAGTATTCTCTCTACCTACCTGCCTAGATGAAATGAATGACTTTCTTCAGTGGTGGTCTGAAGCTTGGGAGAAGGACTGGAAAAAGTAAAGTTGAGGAGAAATAATGGAAAGACAGTGGAACTTAGTCTTTATTTAAAAAAAAATGTTTTATTTATTCAGCAAGCTTTTATTCAAATCCTGTTGTAAGGACATCTGCCCAGAAGGAGTTTATGAACTAGTTGTCAAAACAATGAATCATGCACACAAACACATTAACTAATAAACAATTTCTTTCTTGGTTCTTATTGATATATATGAATACTGTACCTGTCTTTCAGTTCTTATTCCTAAATGTCATGTGGTGCCACACATGCAGTTTAAGCAACACTAATTAATCTTGAGAGTCTACTGGGTATACAGTATTGTTTTTTTTTTTATAGTATTTAAAATGTACAGTATTTAAAATAAGCCTTCTAGGTCTCATCAAGAATAATAAATCATTACACATAAAGAGTGATACTATAAGCAAATAAGAAGAACATGGAATAGTTTACCTGTTAGATCAATAGTTAGGGTAAGAATTTAGGATCAAATGGGATATAGAGAGAATTACAAAATATAAAATAGGTAATTTTGATCATATAAAATTAAAAATGTTTTGCACAAACAAAACCAATGCAACCAAAATTAGAAGGAAAGCAGAAGACCAGGGGAAAATTTTGCAACAAATATCTCTGATAAAGGTCTCATTTCTCAGATATATAGAGAACTGAGTCAAATGTATAAGAATACAATTAATTCTCCAAATGGTAAATGGTCAAAGGATATGAACAGGCAGTTTTCAGACAAAGAATTCTAAGCTATCTATAGTCATATGAAAAAAATTGTTCTAAATCACTATTGATTAGAGAGATACAAGTTACAACAACTCTGAGTTACCACTTCACATCTATCAGATTAGCTAACATGCTGAAAAATGAAAATGTTCAATATTTTCCCGTATTGGGAATAGTTTCCCGTATTGGGGATACAGGAAAACTGGGACATTAATGCATTGTTTGTGGAGTTGTAAACTGATCTTATCCTGGAGAGCAATTTGGAACTATACCCAAAGGGCTATAAAACTGTGCAATACCACTGCTAGGTCTATATCTGAAAGAGATTGAAAGGAAAAGGAAAAGAACCTACTTGTGCAAAAATATTTATAGCAGCTCTTTTGTGGTAGCTAAGAATTGGAAATTGAGGGGATGCCCAATTGGGGAATGGCTAAACAAGTTGTAGTATGTGATTGTGATAGATTATTACTGTGCTATAAGAAATAAACAGTATGATTTCAGAAAAACCCAGAAAGACTTACATGAACTGATGCAAAGTGAAGTGAGGAGAACCAGGAGAACATTGTACACAGTAACAGCAACATTATGCAATGAAGAACTGTGAATTGGCTATTCTCAGAAATACAATGATTTAAGATAATCCTAAAGGACTCAAGATGAAACATGTTAGAGGAAGAATTGATATTGTCTGAATATACACTGAAGCATATCATTTTTATCTTTCTTTCTTTCTTCTTTCTTTTGTTGACATTCAAGTCTTCTTGTACAAAATGACTAATATGGAAATGTTTTACATGATCATACATATATAATCTGTATCAAATTGCTTACCATCTCAGGAATGGGGGAGGAGAGGAAGGGATAGAATTTGGAACTCAAGATTTTTTAAAAAAAAGTTAAAATTGTTCAAACATGAAATTAAGGGGAAAATATACTTTAAAAAAAAAAGGAATGTTAAATCAGATTCATATAATCACCACAGTTTGATTAGCATCACTTCTGTTACTCATCAGCCTTGTGACCTTGGGCAAGTCACTTACTTGAGATAACAATTTGCTCATCTGTAAAAATGAAAATAATATTAGTAATATCTACCTCACCTAGTTGTTGTGAGAAAGTCAAGACAAGTTGATAAGCATTTATTAGGTACCTACAATGTGCCAAACATTGTGCCAAGTGTTAGGGATACAAAGAAAGGCAGAAAAAGGAGGAGGAGAAGGAGAAGAAGAAGACTGTGTTGTTAAGGAGTCAGAGAAATATGAATTATTCTTATTAGAATTGTATTGGGTTCAATTCCTGCCTCTAACACATACTGACTGCATGACCATGGGCAAGTTACTTAGTGATCCAAAAAACTCTATAGGCTGTAAGTCGATAGTCTACATAACTCTCTAAGTGTGCATATACAGTCTATATAATTGTGTGTGTGTGTGTGTGTGTGTGTGTGTGTGTACGTATACGTAGTCTGTCAAGATAAGGTACTGGACACTGAAGTCCTTTCTTGAGCTGATTTGCCAAGCATCCAAACTCTACTATACAGAACATAACTCAGATGGGCTAGCCCTGTTGTTAAAATACCAAATGTACAGTTGCCTGAAAGACTATTTTACGGAGAACTCAACAAGGCAACCACTTACGTGGAGGTCAGAAGAAGCAATAGAAGAACATTCTCAAAGTCTCTCTGAAGAACTTTAGAATTGATTGTGAGACATGGGAGACACTGGCACAGGACTACCCAGCATGGCATGCCGACATCAAAGAAAGCACTGTGTTCTGTGAGCAAAGCAGAATTGCAGTAGCTCAAAAGAAAAGTGAGATGTGCAAATTTAGAGACATATCCACTCTAAGTGTTCACATGGAGTATTTGTGCCTGACCTGTGGTAGTCTTCCAACCTCATGTTGGTCTGATCAGCCACAGTCAAATACTCTACCTTGACTTCGACATAGTGTTGTCATTTTGGTCCTCTTTGAGCACAAAGGACAACAACCAACCAACCAAGTCTAAAAAACTCTAAGACTATAAGTAGGAGAGCCCTGGTTCACCTACATAAGTGGACAAAATTTCTTCATCATTGATCTTTCTACACTGATGAAATTATAGCTCTTCACAAAAAAATAAAAATAAAGAAGATAAAAAGCTAGATATTGGGGCAGCTAGGTGGCATAGAGGACCTGAGTTCAAATTTGGCCTCAGACACTTGACACTTACTAGCTGTATGACCCTGGGCCAGTCACTTAACCCCATTGCCTAACCAAAAGAAAAAAAAGCTAGACACTAATGAGCTAAAACCAGATGCACATAGTTTGCTAGTCGAGTCAAAGACCTGGGTTCTAGTCCCAGATTTGTCATTCACAAGATTTAGAATATCACAGAATCTCATGGTTAGAAAAGGAATTCAGAGGCCCCCTAGTCTCACCACAATGAGGGAAAAATCCCCTCCCTTTTGAGGGAACCCATTCAACTTTTGGACAGCTTGAATTGTTAGGAAGGTTTTCTTAATCTCAAACCCCTTTGCATCCCAAAGTAGCTATTCTGAATATCCTCTTTCCTCAAAATCCCAATGCCATGTCCAACACCTTGCCTCTCAGCCAATGATTTTACTTGCTATTTTAGTGAAAAAAACACCTAGGCCATCTTTCACAAGTTCCATTATTTCCCCCACTCAATACTTTCACATTTC